CGAGTATATTTAGTTTAAGGAAATATAAATACTGTTACTGATAGAAAAAAAAGAGAGAGGTTAGAATGAAAATCGAACCACACCAATGTTTTCATCATTCACTCATCCGTTTTTTTTCCTCCAAATAAATTTAAGTAGCTTTGTTTATTTAAAAAAATGAGCTATTTAAAAAAAAAGGTCTTCTTAGCTTTTATGGATTATAAACAACATTTCTTTTTAAAATTTTTGATATGGTAATTATAAAGATAGAGACTGGTGAGCATAGTTATTTATACTACACTCCCCAAGTCACAGCACTGAGGCGAATGACCATGCTGTGTGTAACAGGAAAAAACCGACTTGTGAACTGATTTACATAATGCAAGGTTTATCAGTGTGACGTAAGTGGCAGTTTCAGAAGCCAGTTAAAAAACAAAACCGACCAGCCGAGGTATTTTATACTTCGACCATCAATCAGATGACTGAATGCGAGTGTCACGTGAACTTAAAAACACCCTATAAGCACTTCCTATAATTTTCCTTTCTTTTTCTGAAATCCCAGATCTTAATTCATGTAAGCAGTGTTTGTAATTAAATTGATTTTTTTTTCCTCTCAGGAAGTATGTTTCCGCTTCTCCTGGAGAGGATGTATAAGATGAGCTTATTTCACAACATCAAACTGAAGCGTCGAAAAGTTGATTCGAGATGCAGCAGCGATGGTGAAACCAACCCCGATCCGAACAACTCTTCACCTGACAGTGTAGTCACTTTAGAACCTGTGCTGAAGGAAGAAGAGCTGGTTCACTTTGCAAGCGAGTTCCCCTTAGGATCAGGCGAAGGAGGGGAGGAATCCTTAATAACACAGTCTGAAGATCCAAACAGGTCCCCCGATACAAATATGCTGGAGGAAGAGCTGGAATCTGTGAAAGGATCTCCGATGCAAAGTGTACAGTCACCCTCTCAACAAGCGGCTAGCTCAGAAAGAGAAATGTTAAGCAGTAGTTCACAAGACAACGTTTTTCACGATGAAGGGAAATGTACACAAGAAGGAGCTCCAGAAGTTCGGTCAGAAAAACCCAAAGAATCTTTAGAAGAGCGTGGATTGGACTTAAGCGCGTCAACCAGGCAGAGGGTTTTTATAGAAGAACTTCCCCATTTAAATCCTCATTTGTGGTCTCCTTCTAGTGCACAAGCCTACAAGCGTCATTTCAGTGCTCATGAAGAACGGCCCCACGTGAAGCAGCAAAGTGTATCTTCGTTGAGAGGAGCACCGCATCAAAAAATGCCATTAGTGATGAGTGATATTCCAATTTCTGGTGCTGGTGAAACAGTGATCTGGACAAGTCCATCTCAGGGGCTACAGCCATCTGAGCAAACAAGCACAAGTTCTATAATAAGTAGTGAAATCCCTGTAAGTCGTCGACATAGCGTATCTAATATGGAAAGGATAGGACTTTTAGGTAGACCAGTTTCCTCGCGATCCCACCCTCTTTCTTTGTACACCTCAACACCTACATCCCCAATAACTTCTAGTGCGCCAACTATAGGACAATGTGGAATCAGTGCTGGTCCAATTAGTGGGTTATCTGCAATAGGAAACTATCCTTCTTTCGATCTCCAGTACGGGACAAATGTGCAAAGGATACCATTCACAGCAACATCAACTTCCACTTCCAGAGAGGATGTGTTGCCCCAATTTCGGAGTCGGAGCAGTAGTTTGGTGAGCACCAGTCTCATATCCTGGTCAGAAAAACTGCCACAACCAGGACCATCTTCTCCCACCCAGTTACCAGACACTCAGGCATTAAATCTCAGTGTATCAGGGAACGGGCGAAAAGAGGAACCAACTGTCATGGCAGCGACACCGTCCACATCTCGTGGTCCTGAAGTCGAGGAGGAGGAAACAGAGCAGCCAATGGTGTGTATGATTTGTGAGGATAAAGCCACAGGTCTTCACTATGGTATCATAACCTGTGAAGGGTAAGTTTTGTGTCTAGGATATGAAACCACGAAGGACATCATTTAAATTTATCATCATTGCTTACTTACGTTAGCCAAAGTATTGAAAATAACAGTGTTTCTGACACTGCTTTTGAACCACGAGTGCCCTTATTATTATGTACATCATTTCGAAAAAATATCTGAAATATTTCACGGGAAAAACAACAACACCTACACCCCGAAATATGCAGTAGGGTGTTCTTATTAACGAGTGAATAGTTGAAATTTATTCATGTTGGAATACAAAACAAAATGTAATTTTTCGTAATTTCTGCATTTGACAGCTAGTATCAAATTTCATCTCTTTATGGCTCAGAAGTGGCCTAGAAGTTAGCGTGCCCGTATTGTGAACCCGAGGATTCGTGGTTCGCGACTAGCTTCCGCAAAATCGCGCTTTAGGGCCGTGGGTGCGCTTTAAGAATGACAGTCAAATCTCATTATTCGCCCATATAAGAAAAGCCCAAGAGTTGACGGTGGGTGCTGTTGACTAGCTGCCTTCCCTATAATCTATCAGTTAAGAATGAGGGAAGACTATGCCCTTGTGTAGCTTTGCGCGAAATTTTGAACGAACAAATAATCTCCAACTAAAAAAAAAAATAGACGTAAATAATTAGGAGACGTAACGTAACTCCTCACTTGAATGGAGAAGTTTAATAAACTTAAAAGATCATTGATGTTCTCATTGGATGGTCAAAAAAATTTGGAACCTGTTTTGTTAAAATAAAACTGCGTTTGTTCACAAATATGTTATTTTAAAATAAGCGAACTTTGCAACCGACTTTGCATTTAAAGACAGTACGTTTGTTTGTTTGTAATTAAGCACAAAGCTACACAATGGGCTGTCTGTGCTCTGCCCACAACGGGTATCGAAACCCGGATTCTAGCGTTGTAAGTCCGCAGACATACCGCTGTGCCACTGGGGGGGGGGGGCAAAGACAGTACGATTTTGAGTTAAAGCTTCAAATCTCACGTGTCGTCACCAACGGGAATTAAACCAACCAAAGTCCGAATGACCTTGACCTTGTTTTCGTGATCTCGTAAACCGTGTAACTGAAGGTTTTTATAAAGCCTAAATACAAGTTTCTGTGATTTTTGGAGTGGCCATCAGATGATTTCTAAACAAAATACTCTGTTTGATTTTACAGCAAAGCCAATAAGGCTATCTGCCGCCTTCCCTAATTTTGAACTGCCAACCAGAAGGGAGGCATCTGACCGACAGTACCCACCGCCAACTCTTTTATCAAGGAGGACAGTGTGATTGTTTGTTATCAATTTCGCACAAAGCTACACGAGGGCTATCTGCGCTAGCCGTCCCTAATTTAGCAGAGGGAAAGCAGCTAGCTAGTCATCACCATCCACCGCCAACTCTTGGGCTACTCTTTTACCAACGAATAGTGGGATTGACCGTCACATTATAACGCTCCCATGGTTGAAAGTATAATCCACCAGTCGGAAATGGTTATATCGTGTTTCAACTGTATTTTCATTGCTACAGGCTATCAAATGTGTTCAATTAAAAAGCAAAATTTATATTACTCATCCCCGAATATTTTAGGTTGGTCCCTTAAGAAAACTGTCTACCTCACCGTTCAATGTCAAGATCCCAAAAACTCTTCCAATTTTTTTTTCTGATCAATACAGTATCCAGAATTATATGTAAGAATCAAACGAGTGACAATTTTTGCCATGGCTTTGCTCTGTGCCCAGTCCAGATCGGTTAAGAGAGGGTTACTCTCCATTGACCTTCCCACACAAGAGTATTTCCAGTGGTAGCTACATTAGCGAGAGAAGTAAAACTGAATTACTGATCTAATCAGGGCGTGACGTTGATGTCAATGACATTTACTTCCAACAAGCTGTGCGGAAAGAGAACCTGACCTCCCAAGTATCTAACCTTGGGTTTATCTAAAATAACTGTATTCAAAATATTATCCAACATAAAAAATCGCTATCTCAGAGTAACCTAAACCAGTATTTCACTTCAGGATCGACAGATTAGAGTAAACATATGCTACTAAAAGGAAAAATAAGAAAGAAAAATAACAGCTGAATAATTAGAACATAGAAGGCCAATTAGCGGCCCGCGGGCCGGACCCGGCCTGCGAAGGTACTATATCTAGCCCCTGATTTTTTTAAATCATGTTTTATTTTGGCCAAAACGGTGAAATGGGAACAGAAAATAAATTGCTGGGCTACTCCTGTCTGACCGAATTGTGGGTTTTGACCGTTATCACTATAACGCACCCACGGCCCCAAATGGACCTGCAGATCTATAGTGCAGTACGCTAACCACATGCTCGGCCCCTAATTTACCTTGTTTATCGTCAAGTAAGTAAATTAGGGAGAAATTAATTTGAAACTTTGGATTTAAAAACACCTTAAATCAGAAAAGTCGTGTAACATATCAAGTAAGTGTTGATGTTGTTTCGAATGTTTGAAATCGAATAGTATTTGTGAACATGTTTATATCTTTCTCATTCAAGATAACCTAAGATGTCAACTTTGGTTTCTCACCACAAAGGTTAATGAACAAATGTTTTGTAATCGTAGTAATATACGTGTATATTAAATTGGCTAGTTTCATTTGCCTCGACAATTGGGATTGGCTGGTTCATTTGTCTTCACAATTGAGATTGGCTAATTCATTTGTCTTGACAACCGAGATTGGTTGATTCATTTGCCTTGACAACTGAGATTGGCTGGTTCATGTGCCTTGACAACCGAGTTTAATTGGTTCATTTGTCTTGACAACTGAAATTGATTGGTTCATTTGTCTTCACAATTGAGATTGGCTAATTCATTTGTCTTGACAACCTAGATTGGTTGGTTCATTTGTTTTAACAACTGTGATTGGTTGATTCATTTGTCTTTACAACTGAGACGAGTATTTTATTCGTGACAAAACAGGACAGGCTAAACGGTATATCGAACAAAAGCAAATTTCCAGGTTTCAAAAAAAATAACAACATGCAAACTTAACAAGTATTACTGAAATATCTGATCAAGTCATTTGTTTTCGTTAATGTTTTTTTTATATAGTCGCTTTTTACAACTGTTAGTATTCTATCAGTATTTAACAAAACAACAGTGTATTTAAGGTTGTTTTGCATCCGCTTTATAACAGAATTAAAATAAATGATATCAATTAATTATCAGTATCGAGATGTTTATATATTAAATAATATTCACATGCGTTGTTTTATGCGCGCGCGCGCGCGCACACACACATATATGTGCTGTTTTCTCAACACGTTATGAAAATATTTTGATTCTGGACTGAAGATACACTCAAACCAAAACACTTAAAGACTCAGTCATAATTCTTGTTTAAAAATGTTTTTTTTTGTGTGTGTGTGTGTTTCGTAACACCAATTTTGTAGCACGTGCGTGTCGGTTTACCGAATTCGCTCAAACTCCTATTTATCTGAATTGTAGGTGCAAAGGTTTTTTCAAACGCACAGTACAGAACAAACGAGTTTACACGTGCGTAGCAGATGGGAATTGTGAAATCACGAAGGCCCAGAGAAATAGGTGTCAGTACTGTCGCTTCCAAAAGTGTCTTCGTCAGGGCATGGTTCTGGCAGGTGAGTTTGTTTGTTTGTCTGTTTGTAATTAAGCATAAAGCTACACAATGAGCTATCTGTGCTCTGCCCACCACAGGTATCGAAACCCGGATTCTAGCGTTGTAAGTCCGCAAATGAATTAATAAACACAATAAAAATATCCCGTGCTATAGAGAAACGCTGGTGTTTTTTTTTATGTAATTATTTATCAAAATAAGGGTTAACTGATTGTTAATGAGGCTTATATTTATTTAGCGTGTTTTTTTTTTCTCGATAAATAAAAGATTTATGTTGTTTGAAATTATGAACCTGGTTAGTAAATATATAAATTAAGGACATATGGATATTACTGACTTGTCG